GAAATGAATTTAATAAGGTAATACTGTATTTGTTTGTTTTTAGTATTAGGTAATCATCTTTTAACCAAGTATGGTTTCTTTGAGGAACCCATTGCCTTGTGATAGTTTTGTGAAGTGAATCAAGGCAGGGGGTCTAATCTTGCACTGTGGCAATTTTCTTGTTCCTTATTTGTATTCTTCTGAGGTTTGGTGTACATTGTAGTTGGCTTAAGGTAACACAATTTAGATTAATTTTGATGTTAATATGCTGTTGTCATCTTCCAGTCTTTTTTAACCCTTCTCTTCAGGGTTTTTATTAATCTTCGTGCTCACACCAAACAAGGTGATAATTTTGGTAACAGCTCTGTGGTGGGCTTCCTGTCAATACAGCCACTCACTATAGAAAACAAAATGTCACATAACCACAGCTCTGCTGTAAACGCTGCAGGTATCTGGAGGGTTCTCTTTAATCTTGAAACAAACGAAGCTCTTATGGCAGTGTTAACAGCTGCTGTGCTGAACTGAACCAAGAGTTCATCTAGTCCATCATATTTGTTTGGATCCAGGACAGCAAAAGGGCCTTTGGGGAATAGAGCTTAGAAAAATAATAATTAGGGTCAACTCTTTAAAAAAAAAAAAACGATTAAAGCACAACTGTGCTACAAGTAGCCCACTGGACAGCTCAGGTTGAGGTATCTGGTGCGAAGCCAGAGGTTCCCCACAGGGCCTCCTAGGAGAAAAGCCAGCCTGTGCGGCCTTGGGCAAGCTGCACTGTCCCCCAGCACCCCCTAGAAGATGGGAAAAAGTAAACCACTTTTCTCCCTGGAAAACTAGAAGATGGGAAAAGTAAACCACTTTTCTCCCTGGAAAACCTTGGAAAGGGTCACCAAAAGTCAGAACTGATTTGACAGTACATCATTATTATTATGTTACATTACAACTACGGTAGGTCACCAAAAGTCAGAACTGATTTGACGGCATGTGATTATTATTATGTTACATTACAACTACGGTGTAATGAGAAGTCATGAGACTCCTTTTACAGTGTAACTAAACTAGTTTTTTTTTGTGGGTGAGGCCTCCCCAGGAATACAATAGGAATAGGATGTTGTCCCACAGGTGGGGGGGGGGCTGCAGTGGGCCTCTCCTTCTTTCACCCTCTTATTCACGAGCAGTGAGGACAGCCTGAAAGGCATAATAGGGCTTCTGGGTGTGGTTTTTGACCTCAGAAGAAATATCTCGTCACATGTTGTTTCAGCGATTGGGTAGTGAGGGGACATACAGTATACTAGCAGCATTCATTCATCTGCTGCAATCCCAGGATTCATGTGTGGTTAATATTCAGTTGTTCAAGGAACATTCCCCCCTGTATTCCTTCGGTCATTGTTTTAAAATACTGTTGGATTTGACACTTACCAGAATACAACCCTCTGGGAAGGATACTGATTTTAGTTAAAAGATCTGCACTTCCACACATCAAGAATTCTCAGGTGAATGCCATCCAGCTGTGGTAGACTAAATTTCTTTAAAAATCCAAACCTATTATTCAAGCTCCTTTGTCTTCTGTGTTTGACACAGCTCAGCCATGGGCACTCCTTAGCAAGCAATGGATCAAGGGCAGGTGTCAGCTACACTGAAAGGATTGTTTTCAGCTTTTATGTTGACTGGTGTCAAACTGCATAAACTGACAACATATATTAAACATTTTAAAATTGCTCCTTGCTTTGTTTGCTTGCGTCCTTGCTTGTTGATTTGGAGAAAGAAAGAATGAAGCTCAACAATTAACATCTATGGAACATTTACTGTAGTAGTCTACTCTTCATATTCTGAGTTAGATTTCTGAGCCAGCATTAGCTTCATTTGACTGCTACAGAAGCAGGTATATTAATAAGAGACCACTCACAGAATGTGGGGAAAAAGTTATTTTTCTAATTCAGCTCCCAGGAGCTCTCAGCCAACATGGCTACTGCGAGATCCTGGAAATTGTAGTCCGAAAAACAAGTCTTTTCCCGTGGCTGTTGACCAGATTGCTGGGCCAACCCCTCGAAAATGTGGCACCCTGGAGAAAGGGCCAGGGTGTTTCCCCACCACAGTTCTGGCCCTGCTAGCCTCTTGTTCATTGTTCAGAGACTTCCTACCACTGTAGGGAGAGGGGAATGTATGAGCCCTTCTGTTTTGCATTACAGAACCATTTCTGCAGCAAGGTCTGAAATGTAATAAATATTTCTGGATTTCCACAGCACAATCTAGAAAAATGGTGAAAGTGAGGACTCCTGTATAGACAGAATATGGGCAGGTTTATAGCTAAAGAAGCAGCCCAGCTTCTCTGTTCTACCCCAACAGCCACTAGTCTCTCAGTGAGATGGTGGAAGAGGCGCATATAAAGCCCATAGCAACAGCAACTTCTTATAGGGCATGTTCAGACCCACCCTTTTGGTGTGGGCTGCTGTGATCAATTGAGATCAGGGATGGGCGCAATATGCCATTAGCATATCAACCTCAAACAACTCTATTTTTGGTATTCTAAAGTGGCGAGTTAGTGCAAAACCACAGTATAAGAGAAAGGAAATGGGGGGTGGGTTCATGTTTGGCTGGGAATGGCAGGCAGCAGAGGGGGAGAAAGAGGGGCAAGCTATCTGTGCCCCTGCAAGGGGAGGAAAATCAGCCAATTGCCAGCCAAAAACAGACAGGCACCCATCAGGCGTTTGTGCTCCCCATGTTTGAACAGGAGGAAGGAGAGGGGCAGGCAGAGAGAAAGGAATGGGATGCACAGAGAAGGGGGGTATGCAATCTCTGACTGCCCCTCTGATCTTACCAGTGGAGACAAAAGAAAGGAATCCTCTCTCTTGCATCTTGGATTGTACACACACACAGACACACAAGCACGCATGGACACAGAAAGAGAGGGGGTTGGAGAGAGAAGAGACAGAGATTGCCTTGAGGGCACAACACAGATTAAAAAGGAAAGGGAATATGTGCCTCCAAACAAGAGATCTCCCCAACAGGATCTCTGTGCCCTTGTAAAAATAAAAGAGATTCTTAACACTCTGTTGCATATCCACAATAAGTCTGCCTCTCTTTTGCACATAACAGTCAAACCTACCACAAAAAAGAAAAAAAGAAAAAAGAAAAGAAAAAGAAAAAGAAAAAGAAAAAGAAAGAAAGAAAGAAAGAAAGAAAGAAAGAAAGAAAGAAAGAAAGAAAGAAAGAAAGAAAGAAAGAAAGAAAGAAAGAAAGAAAGAAAGAAAGAAAGAAAGAAAGAAAAAGAAAACACCCAACGTCTCTTTCTTGGCTTTCCTAAGTTTGCTGATATCATGAAGTGGCTTATTTATTAAGCCTCTTCACAATGCCAAAAATTCAAACCAGAGAAAGCCTTGGGAGCGTTGACGTTTCTAAGAAAACATGTGTAAGAAGTAATACAGATGTTCAACAGATGTATTTGAAAATATGCATGGTGCAGGTAGGATGAAGTCTATTCTGTCCCTGCTATCTTATGCTATAGGAACATTCAGTGAATTTGAATTGTTGGTGATTTAGACGAGGCAAAACTTCTACTGCTTCATACCACAGTTATTTGAGCACTGAAGTATCTTCTTCTTTAAAGTGCACTTCTCCTGACTGGAACCTCCAGATGTGTTCGAAACTTCCATCATTGCCTGCCAGCCTGGAAACTGTAGTCCAACAGGCCTGGAAGGTACCTGGTTGAGGAAGGCTGTGCATATTAGACTCCAGATTTGAAGCAATATTTTTAGAGGTGTCTCACCCAATGTCGCTTAGCTGCATTCCAGTTGGCCCCCACAATGCATTTCCTGAACAAAATCTACTGTGCACAATAGATTGAAATGTAAGGCAGGAAAATGGTGTCTGTGGTCTCTTCAGTGGCTCTCAATCCAGGAAGCCTGTGCTGCAAAATAAACCTAAATGTTGCTCAAATATATCTAATGTGCTAATCCGCCCACCATGCAAGTGCCCAGAAGCCACACAGCATTTCAACTATGTGAAGCCATGTCAATTGACAGAAAGCCTAATGTTCCTCTGTGAGTAACCTTGAAAGACTGGAGTCATAGCTGGTGGAGTAGAGACCAAGCTTCCTATCTCTTCCTTCTGGGTCCTCCACCATTCATACCAGGAATGGATAAGCATTGATGTCTTAGTCAGGTCTGGCCTGATCTTCTTCAGCCATCCTTAACCTTTCTGATTCCATCACTGTGCTCTTATCTCCAATAGCTGCTCCTGCTTGGAAACAAGAGATGAGATTTTCCTGCTCCTCCGGGATGAAAAAAGACAGCCTTTCCCTCTCTGGTCAGATCAGGGATAAGAGTTTTACAGAGAAGAAGACGGCAAAGAGAACATGTAGACCCACCATACTCTCAAGACCTTAAGATTCTGGTGTTTAAATTTCAGAGTAGGTGTGCATGGAATTGATCTGTGCCTTTCATGTCTGAATTTTTTGTGTGTGTGCTAGAGCTTACCCTTCAGTAGACAAGCATACACGGGTTATGCTTGTGTGTTGGGTGGAAAAATGCCCAGACTATACTTTCAGGTAAAGCTTCTACAGCATTGGTGTCGAGCTGTGGCCCTCCAGATGTTCTGGCCTTCAACTCCCAGAAATCCTGGCCAGCAGAGGTGGTGGTGAAGGCTTCTGGGAGTTGAAGTCCAAGAACATCTGGAGGGCCGCAGTTTGACACCACTGTTCTACAGCATTCTGCTGAAGAAGTGCACCTGAAAGTGGTCAAACAGCTCACTGGCTCTGTGTTGCCTTAGTCTTGTTGGATTAGACTGGGTGTATCTTCCTCTGTGGGTGAAGAGATGAACACATATCCTTCCTCAGCCTGACAGTTTTCACAGTGGAACCACCATCCTTAGCTAACAGTTATATGATGGAATTTGTAGTCATCTGGGAGAAAAAAGAGCCAGATTGGGAGAGATAATTCCAACACGAGAAAAAGGGAACTTTTGAAGGGGCCAATAACAAATGTTTCAATAGGGGACCACAGTGACAACCTACACACCATTCTCTGTAAACTCCATTGTTTATTTCAAAATTAATGGTTTCATTAATGGATTAACAATGTGAATTCCATGAGTTAAATGTGGTTTTAGGTTTAAATATTAAAAATCAGTCTCCTATTTCTAACCATTATCAACAACAACAAAAATAATTTTCAGATCTAACTTTCCAAGCTCTTGAAATTTCATACCTTTTCCTGCTTGTTCACCTGGTCACAAGTATATAATTGTACAATTATTGTAAGATATATTATTGTCTAAGCACACTTAACTGTCCATTCCAATTACTTCCACATTATCTATTATTACAGGACAGTACACAAATGATTTCATAGGAAATTATAACTCCCATAACCCCTAAAACATATGTGCAAAATTCTAAACATAACAACTTTTTGACATATTTTTGGTAAGCCATTCAACTTTAATAGCTTCTAGTGGCATTCCAATAGTAAGATTTGCACCTCCTTCAGTTGCAACTACTGATAAAAAGTTGTGAAATTCATCGTGGAAATGCTACAGTTTGGATATGTTAACTGTTTTGCTCATATAACTAACTGTTCCTCTTACATTTTAAAACCTCAATGCCATGAAACATCATAGGTTAAAACATGAAGCTAAAATATAGGGCTATAGTGGTGTTGTGGACTGTACAAAGAGGCAATGGCTTCTTGAAGCCTTTTCCATATGGAGATGATTCAAGCCACCTCAGAGCTCAGAGGCAATTAGAAGCATCATCAGAAGCAATTAGAAACATGTGCATTTTTCAAAAATTCAAATTTGAATTCAGAACTTGGGGTTCAAGTACCAACTTTTAACCAAACAATATGAGCTAAATGCAACATCCTGTACTCCATGTACACATTTTGACAGGGTTTCAAAATGAGTTGCAGATACTTCGACAATTATATAAGTGAATCCAAATTTTAGCCGCCTTCAGCAAAACTAACTGTAGATTAGGTATAGTACAGATTTGTTCCAGGCAGGGACTCTTGCCTCAGGCTGCAAGACATGTCTTCGTAGACCGTATTTTGTGCTTCTTTTTCCTTGCTCTTTTTGCAAAATTTCTTGTTCTATTAAAGGGGAAAAGAAAGGCAGCTATATGTACAGTTACCATGTCATTAGAAATGAAGCCTCTCAAAGTGGTAAAACACATCTGATTGTAGAGCGGAATCACAAATTGGTCCTCTAGCCTTTTTTTAGGCCATATGGGCCCATTCCTGTTCTGAAATTATTATGAATAACCATGATATTGAGAACCATGAATACTAGGTTAACTTGGGAGTCCAGCTGGATTCACTAATATTAATAATTACATAGTGTCAAGTCAATTTAACTTGTAGTGACCCTTTCCAGGGTTATCTAACTGTAGCTTATCCAGAAGTGGTTTAACATTCCATTCTTCTAGGGGGGTGGGGGGTGGTTCTGGAACAGCGTAGCTTGCCCAGAACCACTCAGTCTGGCTTTTTCTCTGCATGAGAAACAAACTCCTGGCCAGGTGCTCCAACTCACTGAGCTATCCAGCCAGATTCTCTAATATTAGATGCTCCAATATAAAAAGGAGCTATTTGGATGCTACTTTGGAACATTTTCTGACCGAGGTACTATTTCTTCCCTACAGAAGAGAACAAATCTGTAATTGGAATTCAACTACCTTCAGAGGGATACTTACATTTTTAGGGGACAGGATACAATATGCCAGCACAGCAACCAGGAGAAGCGACTGGATGATCAGGGCGCCCAGCATCCAGAGAGATGATGAACTGTTTCTTAGCTTGTTATCTGAGGCTGCTTTAGTAGAAGAAAGTGGGAAATAAGTTTCATCCTGTCACTTTGCATGCTAGCTTACCCTGAAAGAGTATACAAGGAACCCAATGGCTTTGTAGGAATCATGGATAGTATCCTGATTCATAAATGTGGTACAGAAGGGAAATCACTTAAGTATCAGCCCACTCGCAATCTCCTCATTGTGTGATCATGATCAGTTGCACAACCAATCATATCACCAGTAAGAGACTGGCCGCGCAATGAGGAACATGCTAGGACAGAGACACTGCAATTTGTATGGGGCATAAAGTTCAAGGTAGCCTTTCTTTAAAAAATAATAATATACGTAAAAATGGGGCACAATGTTTTAAGCTAGACTTGCCCTTACACTCTGGGCAGATTTAAAACAATTAATATGCTTGGAAAACTAGTAGAAATGCTCTCCCAGGATTTAGTTCTTCTGTGGCTACTGCAGAACAATGCTCATAATGCTATTTGATCCTGTCTTTAAAAAAGGACACTGAAGTACTCTGTCTTATAATATTTGTCAGTTCAAAACTGTGTGAGAGAAGAATTAAACAGAGATTTCCTGTCCCCAGTACACCAGTGCCTGAGGCAATAGTCTCACTAAGCTTAATGTTGGACCAACCCTGTACAGAGGAATTGACAAAGTTATGTTCACTCAATCTGTTGTCATTCCTTTGGGGGAATAAGATAAGAAACCTATTCCACTTTTATATCTGTGTTTTTTTTAACTGTGTATATAAAAACAATAACATGTACAGTTTGAACTGACTGTTAGCTGTAGGTGTTAGCTACAATAATCACATGCTGAAAATCAGTATTATTTGGAAGGAATTGTTTTAATATTTATTGTGATTTTACATATTTTCACAAGGAACTGATTCAGGAACAGTTTGACAAAAACAGGGGCCTTCTCTCAGATTGCAGTACTATATTGAAATGTGTGGGTGTAAATCTTTGTGAACATAGTGAAACTTTGTTTGAATAAGCACATGGCATTACTGGAACTAATACAGTTTTGATCTACCCACTGCAGACTAAGCAGTAAAGGCTGGATGTTTGGGGAAAGGGCAGTATCTCCCAAACAGCTGATGGGCATTATGTTTATGAGGTGCCCAGTGTGGTGTAGAGGAGAGAGTGATAGCATATAATTCAGGAGACCAGGGTTCAAACCTCCACTCAGACACAATCCTCCAGATCAGTAGGGGTATGGAACTGGTAAAATCACTCCTGGCATATTTCACCTTGAACGCCCTATTAGGGTCACTATAAGCTGGTTCTGACTTGATGGCACATAAGTGCCAACAACTGTAACTATTGATCAATGTACGAGCAGCCCAGGAATCTGTTTACATGCATGATTTTTCAAATTATTTTCCCATCATGGAACTCGTGTTTAAAAATCATGCAGACTTACAAAAAGACCTCTCTCTGCACTGCTGCTCAGGATGGAGAGTATTTCTTAAATTCTTTGTTCTCTCCAGTTTAAGCTGTATTGACTTTACAAATCACCTCATTAGTGAGGAAGTGTCAAGCCCTGGAACATTTTTCACCTTCCGGCAAGAGCAAAACAAGGAGTTTGATTTTCTTCTTCTTCTGAAGGTATCTGTAATTCTGTGCATTCTGTGAAGAGTTCTTCAGCCCTGAGCAGAGAAGAACTGACTGACTATTTGAAAAAGAGTCCAAGAACCACTTCAGTGGGTCTAAATACTTAAAAATCTCTTCAGCAATAAAGCAGAAGCCCTTCTCAGTTGGAGAAGGTAAGGAGGAGGTAAGTGAGAATTTATATCCCTAATCATTTATTAAAATCAAAATGTCCGTATCTACAATGTCTACACAATGTGTGTGTGTCTGTATGTGTGTGCACGCACGCGCGTGCACGCACGCACACACGCACACACACACTTGTTTTTCCACAATTAGTAAAAAATTAAATGATTGACTGTAGAAATAATTATTATTGCCCAGCCACTTCCCTTACCTTTTACTGCCAACATGATACTGCTGCTGTTTATATCCTTGGGCTCCCCCTCTTCTAGAAAACGTCCCTCACACATATACACATCACTATCATCCTGCTTGACTTGTCGCAGCATTATCGTCACCATGTTGTCCATCTCAAAGTATTCGGTGCGATTTGCATATTCAGGGGCCTCAGTCTTTCTCTTTTCCCACACTGAAACATGTAACACTTGCATGGCCCTCCTAAGGATTCGATTCAACTGCAAGGCCCTATTGATTGGATGCTGAAACTTGCAGGTGACATTGGTCGTCTCCCCTTCCTCAGCAATGATAACAGGTAGCTCCTCTCTGGCTGTGGAAAGGAATGAAAGGATGCCTGTCAGACAGGTAGATCACCTGGTGGAAAACAAGGCGGGGACACCACAAAGACTTATTGACAGTATGTATTTTTCCTATTGATACCAGTGGTTTGTAAAAACACATGGAGGCCACCTGTTCATGTGTAAATCTACCAAAGTGTACTAAATCTGAATGCTGAAGCCAAACAGAATCAGAGAACTCACAGTAGTTTCACCTTTGGAAAAATTATAGTGTCCTTCCATACTAGTTAAAGGTATTTCCAGCACTGGACACCAGCCGACTAACTCCATCTGACACCAGCCACAGTTGCTGTACAGTATGGAAGTCCCATCAGAATTCAACAGTAATATTTATACAGTGTGGAACTGGCTTGATTTGCTGAGCTTTGCAAATCTGACTTTCTTACACTGGAATGGACAACTTCTACCCTTCCACAATTTCTACCCTAATATGTCTCATTGTTATTGGAAAAACCATAAACGATCTACTTCTGCCTCATTGATTGATCTGAATTGGCTTCATTCTTCTGGATTATTTTAAGCTCTGTACTGTGTATTATTTGAAGTCCATAAAGTAGGAAAGGTGAAGCATTGTTTTTCAGGAATAAAACATAAGATTTATTTAAATAATTATAATTTAAATACTCAGAAAGCTTCCAATTAGATCCCTTTTCATGCATTTCAGAAGGGATAACAGATGATTGTTAATGTTGCCTGGACCACTTTTGTCCAGCTAGACAGTGGGGAAGGCATGCATCTGATCACATGGGAAAGGGCTGTTTTGCAGGGAGTGATCTCCCTTAAAATGACTCTTCCAACTAGCCAGCTGAGTACCTCCTGGCTGTGTACTGGCATGTTGTTATTACAAACCAAGCTGAGAAAAGGTAAATATATCTATTAGTTTTACACAATCCAAGTCCCACCCCTGTTAAAGGCTACATTAATTGCCCCAGGCTCAGTAAGACGATAATGCTCTCCAAAGATGACCAAATTATGATTGCAAGAAACGTACTTCTCAGAAAGCAGGCTTAAATTGGCCAGGCTTTAATTTTAAAGGAAAGCACCCACGTGGCTGTCATCTGGCAAGGGAGTGATTGGCATGCAGAAAGTTTCAAGTTCAATTGTGTCGCCAGGTAAGGCTGCTGCCTGGCATGCTGAGAGCCACGGACAAGACGGGGCCAGATGGACCAAGTGCTGAAATCAGTAGGCGGCAGCTTCCTATGAAACTGTGAACTGAGGTTCAGGCCCCACAAGGGTTTCTTGCCCAAAACCAATGCTCACAGATGCCATTTCCCCGCAAAGGCATTATTTACTGCAAAACTGGCAAATCCATACACACTGTTTCTCAAAAGAGAGTGGATCATATCACGCTTCTTTCAGATTTTATTCAAGATGATGTTTCACCTCTAGATACTACTCCTGGATGCTTCACAGCCGGTCTCATATATCCCCATGTATATGGCACTGAGCCGTGTCTGATCCTCCTGTGCTACCTTGAACATGTATAGAAACCACTGCTGTAGTGATCTGTGTGTAGACACGCCAGCAGGTTGAACACCACGGTAGGCAGGGAGAGACCGAGGAGGGCACACACATCTTTTGCTCTTGGTGGAGAGCACCATTTTGGCCATTCCTGGGCCAAAAATCTCCACCTGGAGAGATTCAGATTCTCATACTTTTATATGAGGTCCAAGGAAGAATACACACACACACACACAAAATAGAACAAGAATATTACTGATTTCATAAGATTACTACTATTCAATGTTCCTTTTCCTGATTTTTTTCTGGATCATCTTGAACGATAAGGTGGTGTGATGGGAACAGGACTCATCTAAATTTCTGAAACATTCGTCTTGTACAAAAGGCACAAAAAGGGTCTTTGTAAAGGATTTTGATGGAGTAGAGAACTCATTCACTTTTGAGTCAATGCACACTGCCATTCTGAATTTTGTACATCTCCAATAAGCAAATGAACAAATAAAAACCCATCTACCCATTACAGGCACATGCTGGTATGCCACAGAACCCATACTTTAATCTCATAGGATTTATTTCTCATCACTACCCAAGTTAGCCAGCATGGCAGAGGTTTCTTCAGATTAAAAATAAAAATCAGTTTCTACATATATTGAAAGTGGATCGTTTCTTAGAAATGCAGCTACTGAAGGATGAAATGTTTTCATTTATTCATTCAAATTAAGGTACAATCAAAGTTAGTGGGGTTATAGATGGACGTAATTTCATTATGCATACCTTTTGAGACAGGAGCTCCAGGAAAAAGGAGGAGAAAATAGATAGCAAGCAGCCAGGACATTCTGTAGGAGCACCTCTCCTAGGTTCTGTATCTGCATGAAAGTGGTCGCCTCATAGTGGAGGAAACGAGCTTGTCAGCAGAATTATAGCTGTGCTGGCTGAGGCGTAACCCACACAATCGTATGCATTCAGATATTGTGGTTGTAAGGATGGTGGGAGGCAATTAGTCACAAGAGCTTGTTGTTGATCATATTAAAAGCAACAAACCAGACACTAGGTATCAGATAGATTCTTGGCTGTAGAAGACCTACAGCCCCTCTAGAATGCTTTAAGATTTTCTGCTGGTGCCTTAATAAAGGAGTCAACATTATGTTGGTACACCAACTGAATAATACTGGCCTTTTAAAAGGACGAATAGAGGCCTAGCACTAATATACAATTTTTTTTTTGGCACCGGGCCTCCAAAATATTATTTTCCTATCCATTTCAACGTGCAAAAGTTTGTAATCTGCTTCCAAGGATTTCATTTATTGTTCTTACCATGGCAAATTTGTATTATATATTAAATTATATAAAACAAATTAACTAGGATAGATGACCTATCATGAGGTCAGTATGGCAATGTTAGTTGTCTAGAGTCATTTCCTAAAAGGACTTGTATTTAACCACCACCACCCTTTTCGGAAAGTTTTGGTGTAGGCAGACTTTCAACTGGACCTTTAACAGAAAAGCCAACAACCTGGCCACCCTCTCCTGTCTCCTTCTGCTTCTAGAAGGAGGTTTTCCATTGTCTTTTTTTCAAAAAGCAATGCAGTGCACATGTGCTGCCCTAATACATTGAGTTTTTTTCACTTCCTCAGCCCCTCAACAGAGCCAAGGAAGTGTTTATTTTGCCAATATCCTGAAGTGGCTCCCATTCTTAAGCCACTTCACGACGTGACATGTAGACAGTGTAAGGGTTGCTATTGATTCATTTCCAGCAATCGTTCACACTGGACATAATCATCCAAATTGGAGCAATCTATCTGCACTAAAGAAGTGGAGCCCCCTGAGAGGGGCTAGAAAGGTGATAGGACCACCTTTCTGGTGGCAGGTCAGTTTACTCCAGCAAAGATGTCATCTGATTGCCCTCTGTAACAGCAAACCAAACAGCAGGCTAAATGCCTGCGTAGTCACCCTCTGAGTTCACCTGGTTGAGATGCAGACAGACAAGAGATGCAAATTCCTTAACTTGAGAGTGGTCATGAACCAGATTGTACAGAAAACAGAATTAGATCTGGAAGACAGATGGTAGTTGTAGCCTTCAGAAGTCCGAAACCAGACTGAAGGTCAGTTTCAATTTCTCACCTGCCACATATTCTGAACACAAAAAACCACACATCAGTCTCCATGGAAGTGCCAGAGTTCTTCAGCGTTGCTTAGATGGTTGAGCCAGCCTTGGAAACCACTGACCTTTCAGATGAGAATTACTTTCAGCATCCTTGTTGTCCTCATAAGGTAAATAGGGACAGTGATTTCACAGAGATTTTCACAGGAAGGCTGTATCGCCATTACCTGCCATACAGTTCTACATTCTAGCCTGTGTTGTTTTTACAATCCCCTTATCATCCCCTTTCTCTTGCACACTTCTAACAATGAAGAATGGCATTGATACAATAAGAGGTGTTCCTGGCCAGTTGAAAGGTAGATCAAGGAGTAGAGATGCAGCATCTGCTGGATGGGGTTGCACTACCTCTATAAACACAACGGTGCAACTTAGAGGTGGATTCGTTTCTCACTGTGGATGCCCAGGTTTCAGTAGTGGCCAGGAGTGCATTTGCATAGTTAAAACTAGAGGACCAGCTGTGTCTATTCCTGGAGAGGTCTGATCTGGCCACAGTGACACATGCCTTAGTTACATCCCTGTTGGTTTACTATTATGCTCTCTATGTGGGGCTACCTCTGCAAAGTGTTTGGAAACTTCATCAGGTTGAAAACGTTGCAGTCAGAGTATTAACTGGGACTGGTTACAGGGATCACATCCCCCCCCCCTTTATACAACAGTTCCATCAACTGCCAGTCTGCTTTTTGGCACAATTCAATATGCTATTTAACTGATAATGCCCTAAATAGTAGCTTGGGTCCAAGATATCTCAAGGACTGTAACTGCCAGTCTGCTTCTTAGCAAAATTCAATATGCTATTTAAATGATAACACCCTAAATACCTTGGGTCCAGGCTATCTCAAGGACTGTGTCTTCTTTTATAAGCTTGTTAAGATCATCAGAGGAAGCCTTTCTTGTGGTCCCACCACCTTTCTATAAGCTTGTTAAGATCATCAGAGGGAGCCTTTCTTGTGGTCCCACCACCTTCACAGATGCATTTGATGGGGGCTCAGGAGAGGGCCATGTCTGCTGCTGATCCCAGACTCTGGAACCCCCTCCCATTGGAGGCCCATCTTTGCTGTCCTTCTCCAAGCAGTCGAAGATCTCCAAGCAGTTGAAGATTCTTTAGGCAGGCTTCCAGTTAGTGACTGTTTGTCTGAGAGGGGTTTTTACATGGATTGTTGTGCCTTGTTCCTTTGTATGTGCTCTGATGTTGATTTTGTTAACTGTTTTACTGTGGTATTTGTTTGATTCTTTGTAATATTTCTATACTTCTTGTTTTTAGCTTTTAACATTGTCTGCTACTGAAGTAGCCTGGAATCCTTTTTAAGGAGAAAGGCATGAGAGAGATCAAGAGATCCTTTTTAAGGAGAAATGCATGATATATGATACTGTATTAGTGTTGCTGAAAATTTGAGACACTGAGACAAACTTAAGCAATAATCTTTATCCAATTCTCTTAGGAAAAAGGTAAATGGGACTTCCTAAGAAAACAATAAACCTACTAAAGCTACATAACAAAACATATGAAAATAAAATAAGTAGGGCGAAGGCAGCTCAGGCATCATCCATAAATTTAGGCAAGCACACACGGGTCTCTGCCTCATTCAGTCAGTCAGCACCAGTGAAGTGTGAGCTTGAGTTGGGAGACAAAACAATTAAACTCCGTTTATAGAGCTTCACTAAAAAAAGCAACAGGTAAGGCCTTTAAGCACATTAACTCACAATGGGTAGAATGTTGGATCTTGCCATATCCCAAAAAATATCACTTTATAAGATATTCTGAGGAGGCCCTTCTTTCAGTTCCACCACCTTCCCAGGTGGCTTTGGTGAGGACACGAGAGAGGGCCTTCTCAGTGGCTGCCCTGAGCCTTTGGAATGCACTGCCCTAAGAGGCCAGATTGGCTCTCTCCCTCTTATCATTCTGTCAACAGGCAAAGAACTTCCTCTTCAGGCAGGCCTTTAAGCAGTAACTTGTGTCATGAATGCTGGTTTTTAACTTCTTCTTAGGCACCCTTCAGTCTCGAAAGACCATGATAATGTGCTCTGTATGAGTGTCCTCTCCAGAGCACGAAGCCTGGGTAGAAAAATATGGAGGATAGGCTGTTACTCAAGCAGCAAATCCCCCCTCTCCACATCGCTGAAATAGTCCAATGGAAAGGCAAGAGCCAATACAATGGTTCCAGCAACGTTGTAGAGGTTGGCAGAATGACATGAACTGCCTCCAGGACTCCGGATTTTGCCTCGAGGTTAACTCCTGAAGCCTTTTCCATCAGTGGATATAGCCATAAGGTAGTGGAGGTTTGAAATCGGAGTTTTCCTTCTCCTAGATGGGCTGCCTTCCAAGGCTGACGAACCCCACCTACCCGGCATTTTTAACTTTCAACTTTTTTATTATTTTTAAATTATTTTAAAGCTTGTTTTTAAAATCTTAATAGGTTCTGGGTTTCTTTAATGTGATATTTTTACTGTGTTTTTAAATTTGTTGTTTTATCTGCTGTGATTAAAAAATTGCCAGAGGATGCTGACCCAGTCTTCCACCAACCCTCCTTGGGGGGGCTAAGGTGGTGGTGGAATATCTTCCTAAACAGATTTAGAACAGCATGTTCTCTTTGGCAGTCAAAATTATAGCAAATATAATTAGTATAATTATTGCAAATATAATATGATACTCTTTATCAAAAGTGTTTAGAATGTGGACTTAAAAGTGCAACATAATTTCTGCAATTGCAGCCGAAAGGAAATTTAAGAAATGAAAATAAAGAAATCCGAAGAAATATATTCAAGTGAATCCAAAATATATTAATATATCTCAGTACATAATCAGTATTAACAGTAGGCAACTTATTTTTAAAAAGGTAATACAGTATAACATGCTATAAACAGTATGGACAAAATCTAGTTCTAAAGTTGTGTAAGGGCAATCACATATTTCCCATTATTTGAGAATTCAGACCTGCAAAGCCAATTAGCCAGTAGGGGAAGTGCTCTGTTGCTGCCCTTCCATACAGTTTGTCTTAACTGTCACCTAAAATCATACCCACCCCCATTGTATAAATACATGACAATTGTATGTTGATGAATTGTACAAGAAAGGAGCTAAATGTGGATCCAGAAGTGTGACGTTGATATTATCAGCCTTTTTCTTTAATATGCCTTTGTTGTCTTATTCCCGAGAACCTAAGGGCCAAACTATACATTACAGAAATCATTCATTCGTAGTGTTGAAATAATGTTGGTATATTAGAGACATGACTGAGATTGCACTTCAGGTCTGAGAAATCAGATTCATAAAAGAAGGAAATTATGGCTGCAAAAAACAAAGAAACCCACACAAATCAAAGCAAGCTAATGTGCAAAGTATGGGAGGTAGAAGGGGGCTCCTTCTTATGACAATCACACACAATGGACACTTGAAGAACCTCTTGTTCTAGTAATGGATTATCTGTAATGTATTATTCAGTCCAATGGCAATGTAAGGCTATTGTTTGTAACAGAGCATGGATAAGTTCCTTTTTTTGGATCACCACTCCCAGAATGTCCCAACCAGCATGGCCATATTCTGACTTGCAGGCTGGGCCTGACTCTGGCTATCATAAAGCAGTTTAATTCAAAACAAACTAATTTTGAGCTGCTCGGTTAACATCCTTTTTCTTTTTTCTTTTTCTTTTCTTTTTTGTGGAGCTGGGAAACAGTTGACACTAGTGATGAAAAACCTGCTGTCATGGTTCATTTATTTGTTTATTTATTTATTTATTTAATTTATACCCCGCCTATCTGGCCCACCAGACCACTCTAGGCGGCTTCCAAATATAAAATCAAATAATAAAACATAGACAAATACATAATAATCAAACAAGAACAGCAGTAAAGATAAAAAGGAAAAGTAAGAAAAAAAATCAAGAGTTGGCTGGAGGGAAGGCCTGAATAAACAGCCATGTTTTTAATTGG